CTGGGGAATTCTGGGAGTTGAAGTCCACCCATCTTAAAACGGCCAAGGTTGAGAAACGCTGGATTAGGGTATCAATGGCTACGCCTCTGAAATTTTGTCTCCTTTGTTGAAAGCTCTGTACAGAGCTCAGCGGTTTGCTAGGGAATATGAACGCCCTCCCCACCCCCAAAAATTCCACCTATATGCTTTTTCCCTGGCGCATCTTGCTAGGCCACGGAGCAGAACACGGGATAGATAGCAGGCCTGACTTCCCACGGTTCTCGCATTTTTATTAACACAGCCTTCCCACATTTCTGCAGCTGCTTATTCATTCTGCAGGGAGTGCATTTTAAGCCAAGAATACAAGGGCCCGCTGCCTAAAATACGGCGCTGTCCACCTCTTAAAAACCCACTGCGTCCGGAGCGCTTCTGAATGGCTTCCTAGAAGCTGGGGGACGGGAGGGCTGAATTTGCCTCCTTGCAACGGCTGTAATATCCCAGCCTCCCATCTTCATGGTTTATTGCAATTGGCTTTAAATTGTAGATGTCCTTGGAGAGGACATAACCTCATATTACAACCGTGCACGCATGCGCAGTCCAGCATACACACGGGCGCCTACACAACAGTAACACAAGCACATTTGGGTCCCACAGTTTGGCTCCCACCGCCGAAAGGTCCCAGGGATTCAAAAGCCGGGAAACTCGCCTTTCTACATCTTCCAGGAAAAAACCCTGCTCGGATGTTTGGGGAGTTCAGCTCCAGGTCTTAAAGGGAAAACCGTCTCAGATCCCCCCCCCCACCTTAGGCATGATTTCTTTCAAGACAGGTGTGGAAAGCTGGGCTTCTGGGCCCCGGGCATTTTTCACACTTGGCCTCCCCCCTCCTGGATCACCCTCAAAGGATAGAAGGGGATCAAGGGTGTCTTTTTGCAGGAGGGGGGAAATCCCACACTCGGGGAGCTTTGCACATTCTGCTCCGAGGACAAAAAAAGTGATAGTATTATTATTTCCATGCACCATTTGGGGAAGGTCTCTCTCTTCCGGGGGGGGGAGGAACCTCCTTCGCTTCCTCCACAAGGCTGCAGACTGGAGGGTGCCAAAAGGCGAGAGATCCTCCCCTCCATATTGTATGCAAATCACATACAAATGAAATCCTAAATGCATTGCGGGATTAAACAAAAGCGGGGG